TCACTGTTTCTTTATCAAATAGCATATCTTCAATTTCCTTTTCCTTCTTTTCCTCTTTTACAGCAGTCAAAACCTGTGTATGCCAAAACTTGTATCCTAGGTAGTTCATTGCTCAGATGAGCCTAAAGGATACTATCTAAAAGAGAACAGATAGCTGTTACCCTCAGCCATCTTTAACCAACCCTTCTTGATTCTCCCTGAATGTCCAAAGTGTTCACATGAATGCAGCTGGCTGAGTTCTGGGACAGTTTGTAGCCTTTACGGTAATGGTGGGCAGTTCTCGCCTTTGGCTGCTTATAGCTTTAGTGAAGGGCTCCTTCATGTGTGGGATGTGTTTCCTAACTGCCTGTCCCATAGTCCTGGTATAAAGACCAGACAGTCAGAGCTTGGAGAGCCCCTGTGTGTGCTGCAGCTTCACCCCTGCAGCTGCGTCATGGAGTGTTTGTGGTTTGTGTGGTAGGGACTCAGCCTCTGTGTGATGTCTGCCCTAGCACAGGCTAAACTAAGCTGAGTCAGAGATGATCCCTTCTGGAGGAGCCACAGGCTCAGCAGTTCACACACTGGGAGGAGGCTCCTGCTAGAAGTGATTGGTGGCTGGGTAGGGACAAAGCCTGGTGCCCTTTGTTTTGTCAGTCATACTGTTCTGGGAACAATTCTCATGATTTTTTGTGGATTTTCCTTCTCTTCTGCTTTTATCTACATACATTGGATTGTGTTTGAATCTGTTGGTGGATGGCCCTGCTCTGGAGCACCATTCAAGATGTGCCTGGCTTTGGGTCCACATCTTCCTCCAAGCAAGCTCCAGTCAGCTTTCATCCTGCTCTTGCCCTCCTATTCTCTTCTAGCATTTTCCTTGGCAGATGCTCCTACCTTGCCTGGCACTGGCAGAACCTCCAGTGCCTGTCTTGGACATCACCCAGTTAAGGTCATAAGCAAGCAGGAATGGATGGGTTTTTCCAGCTCAGCCTTGTCTCCCTCGGTGCAATGAGGGAAGATCCCCAATAGATGGCACTTGAACCTCTTCCCTGTCTGTTTTTTTTCCCCTCCAACCTCGGGATGTTCAGACCAGCGTATGCACAGATGCAGCATGAGCCTGTTACAGCACAGTGTGTGGAAAAAGGAGACCAAAAAGCGGCTCACTCTGTAACAAGAGGTGAGCAAATCCCCAGGTGACTTCAAAGGGTGAAAAAAGCATCTCTTTCTTTTTGAGAAGGCTTGGCCAGGCCTGCCTAATGAGACTTTCTGCACCCACACACATTCCTGTTCTTGCACCTGGCAGTGTCAGTGGTACACCTTGGGCAGGATAAACTGCAGAAAGCATTAGCTTGTCCTCTGAGCACAACAGGAAACACAGCCCAGAGGGAATCTGTGCATTAAACTAATCCTCACTGCATTGTCTTCACCCCCACTGCCTGTCTCCCCATTGCACTGTTTGGTCAGGATTCCCACAGAGGAATGTCTCCGAGGGAAAAGAAGATGTGTCACAGCAGACATCCAGGGATGTCTTCCCCATGGCAGCAGTGGGCAGGAACATGAGGAAGTGATCTAGTACCCTGCCTCAACTCACTGTCCCCTGCCCTCTCCCTGTCACCTCAGTGCCATGTGTTCTTGAAGGAGAAACTTGCCACTTGCCTCCTTTCTGCTCCTGGTCTGGCCATGAGGAACTTAAAGAGCTCTTCAAGAAATGCTGGAGCAGGCTTGTGGGTTTACCCTAAGTGTTGTGTGATGCATTTTTTATGCTTTTATCATGTGACCAGAAGAAACTTGGGCTAGGTTGGAGATTTGAGTTTTAGTTTGAACCCAGCAGGCAAATCAAAACTCCAGAGGTGGGAAACCCACAGGAACCAAAAACAGAGCAGAATGATCACATGAGATGCTTGGGAACAGAAACCACTGAATTTGCATAGCTCCAGCAGTGTGATCTAGTAACAGGCTAGATTACAGTCTGGGCACATACAGCTAAGGGCCAGGAGGTAGCACTTCTGTTCTTGGATCTTCCACAGCTTTTCTCAGTGACCTTCACAAAGTCAAAGCAACCTTCTCTGACTTGGGTTTTTCTTTGGGAATAATACTATTGCTTACCCCTGGAAAATATTTTGCTATCCTCAGACAGAAGTTATTCAGTAGTGTTCTGCAACCCGTATGTGGAGGAGCAATGTCTCCAGTCTTCTCAGGAAGCTTTCTTTCCACTATGTGATGTGGCAGTGTGACTTGTCATGTACTAGGAACCCATTCAGCACATTGAGCCTCATCCTCAGGGCACAGATCACCTAAGACAAGAGTTGCAGCAGTAGGTTGTAGCTCTGCTTTCTGTGAGGGTTTTTTTTTCCTCTGGGAGTTTGCTAAATTGCTTGTCGCTGGTTGCAGCAGTGTGTCCCCACGCCTCATTCAGAGGAGATGCTGGATGCTGTGGATTGATGGAGAGATTGTGATCTGTCGATCAGCTGCTCCTGGCATTGCAGTTGTGGATCGAGAGAGAGGTCATGGTACTTTACCAGTGTGAGGTGCATCGTTAGTGGGGAGGAACCTGAGGGTGTGAGTTTCTCCTAAGTCTGCTAGAACACAGAGATGCTCAGATGGATACAGAGTCTGATAAAACATTCAGAAGTGAGAAGGTGTCCATAACTAGACTTCCAATAGAACTGGATGTACCCAAAGTTGGTGTTCCTGGCTATTCTGCTCATATGAAATACAAAGCAAGAAAGAAATAGCTGCTCTGCAGGTATTTGCTGAAACACGTATAGGTAAAGGTTGCAGAAGCAGGATTTGTAGTATTAGTTTCTCTCGAATTGCAAGTGCCCCAAGAAAGGCTCATCAGCACTTGCTTTTGCTGCTTGCCCTGAGAAGGCCTGGCCCTGCAGCAGGTTAGGAGGCCAAGCATAAACCCTTCACCAGGCTGTGGTCCCCACTGCTGTCTTGTGGTGTAGTGGGGTGGGGTGAGCTCAGGTAGAGCCTGTGATGTGTCACAGTTGGGATGGCAGGTTCTGCTCTTCTGCTATTCAGGGAGCTTTTTCAGCTTCATCTGTTCTGGAACAAACAACTAGACCCTGGCATGTGCCTGTCCCAGTGCTTGAACTCTGAATGGAAAAGCAATCATACACAGTAGTTTAAACTGACTGTGGTTTATGGGTTATATCTTAGAGACCATTACAAGGACAGCCAGCGTCTCCAGAGCTGAAATAAGGAATGAATAATAGCTTGGGGAATTTTGCTTTATATATATATAAAAAAAGGAAAAAATTATAAGAGGGTCTCTGTTGTTGGACTTTGGGATGTACATTGGTTATTGGTTAGGTCTCAGAAGTAATTCTTATCTAGCATTAAACATATTATTGCATATCTCTATGGAGAATTTCTGGTTTCAGATGCCATTTTACTCCCTCCTGTTGAATGCAGGATGCCAGACTAGCAATCTGCTCATGTACACTATTCCCTGTTATTTTTAAATTCATGCAATAAGAAAAGCAGAAGTACCTATAGCAATGTGCAATCCAATATGGTTGGATTGTGATTTCAATTTGGTATGAACTGGGGGGAAAATAGACCAAAACAAGTCCATGGTGTGAATGCAGAACTCAGAAAAAGTGTGGTTTAACAGCTGAGACAGTTTCCTACTGCAGACATCTTCTAAGAAAGCACTATCTGAAAAGCAAAAATTTTGTTTCCTGGCTCAGACTCTGTGCTGGTTGTACTCCTTGAAGAAAAAATATTTTGCTAAGTGGAGCTGAACCGAGGCCCTTTCCCCTGCAGGAAAGATGTACTCTCTCTTTTCCACAGTCAGCACTTTAGGAGTGCTCTTTCCTTATCTTGTTACAGGCCTGCTGGCTGAGAACTGGGAGCCCACAGTTAACCAGCCTGCGCTCCTCTGGAATTTGTACACAAGCAGAGACCTCTGCAATGCTTCCAGGAGGAAGGCTGGGACAAAAGGCTCTGCTGGCCCCGAGGGACTGGGAATGGGCAAAAGGGACCTTTCACCTAGACATGGGGAGTTCATCGCTGGCACGGAGCTGGCAGTGGGTGAAAGCCTTTTGTTGTTACTGCTGGCAAACGTGTCGGTGGCTTCCTGTGGGTTCAAAGCCTATCAGTCACTCCCTGATAACTTTCCTGACTGTTTTGCCAGGGAGGTGCTGGAGGACTGGCCATGGAAATGGGGCACCTTGCTTGTGCCCGAGGATGGCTGGTGCAGCAGGAGCTGGAGCTGGCCTGGCCCCGCACCCGCGTTCCTGTGGGGAAAGGCTGTGGCGAGCTTCCCTGCTGCTGCAGGCCCCATGCAAGTTGCCGGCGTGGCTCAAGGGACTCGAGACAGGACCCACGAGCCCTCCCTACGGATCTGTTCTCTGAATCGGAGGACAGCACAGACAGGTCACGGCATCCCGTCCTGGGATCCATGGACCGAGCGGGCTGCGAGCCAGGATGCGGTAGCGCAGAGGCAGCTCCCAGTCCGCTACATCCCGAGCAGAGCCCGCCCAGCCCGGGAACTCCAAAGAACGCAGGCGGCCGGGAAGGGCCGGTGACCCTTTAAGCGGAGTCCCCGCCCCGTCCCGCCCCGTCCCGCCCCGTCCCGCCCCGTCGGGCCAATGTGCGCCGCGGCTGCCGCGCCGCTTGTTACAAGTTTCCCGTGTTGGCGGTGCCGGAGGGACCCTGGGGTGGCGGCGGGCGGCAGCAGCGGGGCGCGATGCCTGATGCCCGCCTGGCGCTGACCGGGCGGCAGCGCTGCCATGAGCGGAGCCCGGCGCCTCGCCCGGGGAGCTCTGCCGTCCCGCAGTGAGCACTCCGCGCCGAGTGTCTCTTGTCCCCTGCAGCACGCTGCCAGCTGGTACCTCCCTCCTTTCTGAAGCGTAACTGGGGAGGGGGTGGAAGGCAGAGGAAGTTTGGTGTTCAGTTTTTTTTCTGTAGGCTTTGGAGAGGGATTCCCTGCGCCTGCCAGCGCGGAGGGCTGCAGGACAGGGCGCGGTGGCGGAGGGGAAAGGGGCACAGCTGGGAGCGGCTGTGCGGAGCCGTGCCCCGCCGCCCCGTACCTGGGGTGCTGGATGCGAGCTCCGCCGAGCGTAGCGGCAGCGGCGCGGCAGATGCAGATGCGTGCGTGTGTGTATGCTTAACCCTTTCTTGGCTCCTCGGATTTGTACCATGCTGAAGATCCTCACCAAAAAGCTCAGGAACCAGAGTTTGAACGAAATTCAACCTTTCCAATTAAAGGTAAGAAAAGACGGTTTTCTTTCGGTTGTTTTTTGTCCCCTTCAGGTAACTACTAAGAGGGCCTTGAGAAGCTGGAAACTTGCAGTGTTTATTATGCTGGGTCAGTTTCCTCTCAGCCAGTGTGCTCAGGAGGAACTGGCCTAGGCTATATTCCTGTTACTTAAAGTCCCGTTCCTTTGCACTCAGAATTACCCTGCACAATCCAGATAATACATCTGTCTTCATACACCTTTCTGTATCTGTTCTTTGGAATGTTTTCCTTTTGAGGGGATTCACATTTAATTGTGCAGGCAATTTGCCTGGATAGATACCTTTGTACGTGTGCAATCTGTAGCCTCGCAGCCCTTTCCAGGCTAGAACCCCACTGTGCTAGGTGCTGTACAAACATGATTTACCTAAAATGCCTTTCAGCTCTTTATTTGCATTTCTCTCTCTTCTGGTCCTGAAGGCCAGAGTCTGAGCTGAAGTTTGCAGGCTGGATCATTGCACTGACCTATGTCTTTCCAGATTCTTTTTACATCCGTTTTTAATGTTTAAAATAAAACTGAGGACCACAGATTCAGGATAAGAACTGTCTAAGCCCTTCCTGCCAAATATAAAGAGGAATTTTTGAGCCATATACCACGGGATAAAAATGGAGCCGTGACGAATGAGAAAAAAATACCAGATCCTGATTTGGCAAAATTGTTGTGAAGCAAGGGATACCCCCTGAAATTAGCAGAGTTAGTCTGGATTGGCACCAGTGCTGCGGGAAGTGTAGCACCTGGCCCCAAATAAAAGAAAGGGTCTGGGAAAAGTAGCAGACCTCGTTGCCTGGGTTGGGGGCTGGGGATCCGTATACCAGACTGTAGTGAAGTCTTTTGTATTTGTTACACAGAGGCTCATTGCCGTGTGGCTGCACTTCTGTGCAGTCACTCTGGACAGGCTGATGGCAACTTTGATGAAACATCAGCACTGTTTCTAACAAAGTTAACTGTACTTCTTCCTCTGGGAATTGCACATTCTGTGGCTCTCAGGGGAGGCAAGGTTAGATTGTATTTTTAGAAGTAAAATAAGGGCAATGCTTTAGGTTGTAGTGGGTTGATTCAGTGCAGAGTATCTGAAGAGGCAGTGAGGGTTTTTTAACACTGTGTTTCTGGGCCTTATGGCTGCAATCTCCTCCTTTTAGATTTATTGTTTGTCTCTTGGAGCCTCAGGTTGAGAAACTGAGAATCTTTGGAAGGAACTCTCAGAGGTAGATACAGCCTTCAGGATGCTTGGAGGCACGCAGGAAAATGTGCATGAATGGGCATCTGCAGCCATTTTGTTAATGTTAGTGCCAAGGTTTTGTGCTGCAGACAGGTGGTCTGCATTTTTGCAGGCTCAGTGGAGAAAGTTAAGCTTGCACTGTGCCTTGCTTGCAAGGCTAATGCGTAGCCCATCAGAGCTGTCTTTGCAGCCTGCAGTGGGGAGTGCTACAATGACTGGTACACATGTGTATGGGCAGAAAGCCAGACTTGCAAACTCTGGGTTTAAATCTGTTTTGTAGGCCTTTGGGGACCATGTGCAGCTGCCTGGTCTTGGTTGAGTCTTGCAGCAGCATACTAATTGCTTAATGGAGTGTGCAGTGCTCTGTCTTAGGTGTTGGACCAGAGCTCCTTGCAGGTATGGACCCTGGGTAGGTGTCACAGGGGGTGAGCAGCATGCAAGCTTCTGGTGGCTGTGCTGTGCATGGGCCCTGTGGCAAGGCCAAGTGTCCTGTACCATTTTGCTCTATTGCCCTCATGATGTGGGGCTGCCAGGCACTGACCAGACTTCAGCCTTCTTGGCCTTGGTCTGTGTAGGCCTGTACGTATTCTGGCTTGTATGGTATATGCATTTTTTAAAAGGGTCAGTGTGCTGTCATTGAAGTCTAGTGAAAAGTTAGGTGAGAGCACAGAATCAGGTCTGTAGAGGTCTGTAGTCCTGTAAGTGGAGAATGAGCCTCAAGTTTGGATAGAGTAAGAATTGATCTACATTCATTGCCCAAACCAAGTGCTTTCTGAGCTTTCATAACAGTGTGCTTAGTTGCTCTTCTCCTTCATTGCCCACTCGCATTAGCACTTTATGACCTTTTTGGGAAGTTCCCAAATTCAAGGAAAAGCAAGCTGCTGTTGTGCTTCTGGCTTACAGCTGTATTGAAATTAGCCAAAGTCCCAGGAGATTGTCCTTGGGTAAATTTTAAACTCATTTTTATAAGTGTGGAAGATTTGACCAACCTTGGATTAGCCTTCAATCTTTGGAAATCTTTTCAGGATGAAATTTCTCCCCACTGCAAAGATTATATTTTTGTATGATGTGTCTTGAATTGGTTTAATGTGGCTGTGATAGATCCTTCTAGTCTTTCTCCACTTGGAGAAGCTTAGAGGATGCCATGGCCTTCTGTAAATGAAACCTCAAAATATGCAAGCTTTGGGTGTTGATGTAATGGACTTCTCTTTTTCCTTCTAAACCTGCTCTTTAGGCAGTTGACAACTAAGGCTACTCCCAGAATGGATAAGGTTGGAAGGGACCACAGTGGATCATCTGTTCCAGGCTCCCTGCTCAGGGACTCAAGAGATGTGCTGGTGTCTCTCACAAAGTGCCCCTTTATTTCCCTGCCACAAAAAGTCACCACAGTGGGAAGGGAGGGACTGACTGACACTTCACTTGATGTTGGGTTAGCCTGCTCAGCCAGAAGTTTCTGATAAAGGTGGCTGGGCTGTCAAGTGTAATAGTTACGGTTCAAATTTGAGTGCCTCACCTTGGAAGACAGCTGTTCTTGCTTCACAGAAGCCCAGAATGGATAAGGTTGGAAGGGACCACAGTGGATCATCTGTTCCAGGCTCCCTGCTCAGGCAAGGTCATGCTCAAGCATGTGGCACAGGATTGTGTCCAGACAGTTCTTGAATATCTCCAGTGAGGAAGATTCCACAATCTCTCTGGGCATGGTCAGCCACACAGTAAAGAAGTTCTTCCTTGTGTTCAGGTGGTTGACTCTTTTTGAAACTGACCAGGCTGAGCTCCCTCAGCCTTTCCTGTAAGAGAGATGTTCCAGTCCCTTAATCACCTTTGTTACCCTCCACTGGGTAACTCAGGAGCTCCATGTCTCTCTTGTCCTGAGGAGCCCAGAACTGGACACAGAACTCCAGAGCTGCCTCACCAGGGCCGAGCAGAGGGGCAGGATCACCTCCCTCAACCTGCTGGCAGTGCTGTTCCTAATGTACCCCGGGATTCCATCAGCCTCCTTGGCCACAGGACACACTGCTGGCTCATGGATGGCTTGTTGCCCACCAGGACCCCCAGGTCCTTCTCCACAGAGCTCCTTTCCAGCACTTGAGCCTGTGCTAGTCCATGGAGTTATTCTTCCCGAGATGCAGGACTCTGCACTTACCTTTGTTGAATTTCAGGAGGTTCTTCTCTCCCATCTCTCCAGCATGTCCTTCTGAAGCCCTCTGGGGCACCAGCCACTCCTCCCAGATTTGTGTCATCAGTGAATTTGCTGAGGAGGCATCTGCTCCTCCATGCAAGTCATCAATGAATGAGTTAAACAATATTGGGCCCAGTATTGAACCTTGGGGGATACCACTAATGACAGGCCTTCAGCCAGACTGTGTGCCCCTGGCTATGACCATCAGCCAGTTCTCAGTCCACCTTACTCTCCAGTCATCCAGTCCACACTTCCTGAATTTACTTATGAGGATGTTGTGAGAGACAGTGTTCAAAGTCTTGCTGAAGTCAGTGCAGACAGTATCCACTGCTCTCCCTTTATCCAGTTGTTTCATTGTAGAAGGCAATTGGGTTTGTCAGGCATGACATTCATGCTACTCCTTGTCATCCATGTGAATAGATATAGCCTCCAGAATGAGGCATTCCATCACATTTCTAGGGATTGAGGTGAAGCAGACTGGCTGGTAGTTCCCTCACTCCTAATTCTTGCCTTTTTTTGAAGACTGGAATAACATTTGCTTTTTTCCAGTTCTCAGGCACCTCTCCTGATTGCCATGATTTGCCATTTCAAAGATGATTGTGAATGGCCTAGCTATGGTATTTGCCAGCTTTCTCAACATTTGTGGAAGCATCTCATCAGAGCTTGTGGACTTGTGGATGTAAACTTTTCCTAGGTGTCTTTCCATTGGATACTTGTGCCCCTGTAGCAGAGGCAGCAAGAGCTCCTGAGCTATTTTAGTTCATAGCACAGCCTGTTAGCTTAAGATCTTCAGCTCTTCAACCTTCAGCTTCTGTGGCTAAATCCAAGAAAGGAGAGGGCATTGCCTGGTGCCTCAGTCTTTGGTCTACCTCTTGCTTCAGCGGTATGGTGTTATTTGCTAGAGATTAGGCCAGATTCAGGAACCTTTTCAGATGCCTTTGAGCCAGAAGCATATCTGACTTTACAGGTTTGGGATCATCTTTGATAACAGCTGGCAACTGGATCTGTTCCAGAGCAGTTGAGACAGGAGAAAAAAGTGAGACCGAGAGGTGTCCCATAGTGTAGTGAAATGCTTCAAGCCAGGAAAGTGAGAGGGGCCTGTAACTCAAGGCCTGATTTTTTTTTTTTAATTTTTTTTTTTTTTTGTGTGTGTGTTTGTTGTCCAGTATTAGTCTAGTATATTTTTAAAATTATTTTCTTTCATAGTTTTAGACTTGTAGCCCTGAGAAGCACTTTCTGAACTATTAAGTCGGGCTGATCAAGGAGCTTTTAAAATGCATATCTTGGGCTTGCATGTGGGTTTGTGGTGGAATACTGATACTGAGCCCCTAGAAGTGTTCTCTAACCAACTCTGTGAGCTTTCTGTAAATCAAATGTTTTATTCATCCCCACAATTTTGGGTAGGGATTTCTCACACAAATCTATTTCTTCCAAGTTTCTCTTTAACTCTTGGGGCCTTACTATTTATGTAGTGGCTAAAGTGTGGGTGTCTGTTTTCTGAGTTTTGCTTGCAAGAGAGCTCCTTCGGGCAGAGAGCATCTGGCTGGAACAAGTCTGTGCATTGCCAGTCAAA